AATTTTTATAAGCACTTGGCCTCCAGGTTAAATAGTATGCGGTCCATGTGGCAGGACTCTGTTTATACACATTTGTTCACATAATCTTGGCCAGTTATATTTTGCCCAGATCAATGAGATATTATAAGAGCTTCATGGCCTCTGGGTCTACTATCATATCAGAGAATAGAAATGGCCTCCCAAGGGCTGGGGATTTAGCTACTGCCTGCCTCACAAGCACAAGGTCCTGAGTTCAATACCTGGTACCAAAAAAAAAAAGCCTCCTATATAAAATCTCAAACGGGCTCTAACAGCCCAATTTGGGACATGTAACAAACTCATGAGCACTATTGGCAGTAATCAGAGCCAGAACTCAGACACTCTGGAAAAGTTTTACCAGAGCTCAGTTTAGGGTCTGGTTGGCTTTCTCTACCTTTCCAGAATTTTGAGGTCTACTTCCCACATAATATTTTTTATAGTTTGTCACCATGTCCCTTGAGGAAGGACCAAAATGGCTTCTGGAACTGAAAGTAAAGCTGGGGCCTTGAGAGGCTGTAGGACTGTCCTTGCTTCCCTATTGGCCTTTTGATTTTCCAAGGAGACTTCAGACATGTCTCTGGTGTCCTTTACAGTGACTGACTGCAACCTGGTTAGGAAGATGGATTTCCTCTAGGAGTTGTAGAATTTCCTGCCTGTGCTTTATAGATGATTGACAAAGCTACTTTTGTCAGTGAACCACACATCCTCAGGATTTTGGAGGAGCATGTTACTGGTGTCCTGCTGAGTGCATAGGTCTGGGAGATCACTTGTTCACAAGAATGGCTATCTTCTGGGCCTGTAGACATCAAAGAAGCAGGTTTAATAGTAGTAAAAATTTTTATAATGACCCCAAGGATGTCTAAGAGTATGATCTGATACTTGATAAGCCATTTCCTTGTTAATCATAATTACCCTTTTATCTTCAGAATAGCTCTGACCTGATGAAGAGTCAGGACATCTAGTTTCTGTCCCAAAGTTAACTTTGAAGCTTCTGCCATTAGTACAGCAGCAAAGAATATCTGATCAGGGTCTCTTTTACCCCAACTATGGCTATAGATCCAGAGGAGGGTTTTTTAGAGAAATAAGTTGGGACAAAATGAAGTAATTGAATTGGTTACCTGATATCGAAGATTACCCAGGGTTCCTTGGAGGAGATGGCAATGTTGGTGAACAGGGGTATTGCAGATTTCTTAGGGCCTCTTCAGTCATCAGAGGAGGAGAAATGAAGATTCTGGCTGGGCTAGCCCCTCTGTGGGATCAGGGATAATCACTCCCTCCAGTGCCATGAGTCAGACATATTAGCTCCTTCACATACAGAGCTCAGTGCAGTCTCATTCCCTGTGTCTGATCCACTTATACTTGAAATAGCAACTTTCTGCCCAGTTGTATCTGGGTTTTTCCCTAGATGATCTATCTAGGTGGGTTTAAAGCATTGCCAATTGTAATGGCTATAATCTTATCCTTTCTTTCTTATCCTTCCTCTGGGTCCCAATTGTTGAACACAGTAAAGGCTTTGTCCAATAATTGGGACATTGGTATCTGTGGCCCCATCTGAGGTTTTTGTAGCTTATGCCAAATATCTGGGGCTGGTTGACAGATGACATGATGTCTCACTAGTGCTTTTCCCTTCCTGGAAGATGGATCTATATTAGTTATTTACGAAAGACTCAATATACTTTATCTCCCTAATAAGAGCAGCTAGCATATCAGACATTATTCTTACTCCCTCAGTATTACAGTCTCAGTTTGGTTCTGTTGAAGAAAGAATAACCTTTTCAGGGTGGTTTCTTTCCCTTTTTAAAGCATGTTGTTCATTTACAGAGTTCCTAGCCTCTTGTATACCTGTAATTGAAAAAGGGTCCTGATATATTGGCCTGGAGATTATAAGGAGGAGGTAGAAGAGATCTGGCAGTATCATCAAATAGATCAGAGAGATCCATATCCCTCTCAAAGACACCAGACACATGTCTCAAAGACAAGTGGGGGTCTCAGGCTGGATAGGGTCATCCAGAATATCTTTCTCTTCCTCGGAGACCACTCTAAACCCCATAATTCCTGAGCATTACCTTTAATAGAGTCACAAAAGCCTGAGTATAAGGCATTTAATTCCCCTCATACGTTTTAAGCAGAAACACTATAAGTGGAGAATAGTCTCATAATTTAAAGTATCATCCTGTACCCACAGTTAATACTGAACCCAAATCATATTCCAATGATTAATAAGATATTCCTGTATTAGACTGTCAGGAAGGATCAGTCTTTACTACTCATCACGAATATGGCCTAGTTGTGAAGTCAGTGAAACCCAAGTGGTGGCACAGTCCAAGAGGTTTCCCATTGGCTTGGCTTGGGGTCTAGAGAGAGGAGACAACTAGGTCTTGACTCCTTAAGATGGCGTCCTGTGCAGCAGGAGGAAACTTGAGGGTTCCAGAAAGTGTCCTTTGTGAGACTAACACAAACTAGACAGGTGTCTCTGTCCAAGTGATGCTGGCATCATTAAGCACAGAAGAAAGCTCTCCAGAGGCTTTTGTCTCCATATTTGGACCCATTAACTCATTAGGGAGGAGAGGGCAAAACCACTTGTTGGCCTTACCTAGTCTTTTAGCTCCTGTGAAATAATGGCAGAACTTCCCCAAAGTTCCCTTGGCCATGTAGTTGAGCTCCTTGATGGTCCAACTTGCCTTTTAAGTCCCGTGATGGCTCTACTTCTGTTTTGAGCCCCTTGATGGGTCTCCTGCTCTTTCAAGTCCCTTGATGATACTGTATAACCAGAATGGAGCCTATTGAGAAAATTGGCTTACATTTATTCAGGTAGTAAAGGGGATGACTTTGCTTCTGTATACTTACAGTCTCTTTAATTAAATTTTAAACACTTTGTTTTGCTCAGGTTGTCAGACATAGGGTTTTTAAATTATCTGCATGTAAACAAGGAAGAAAAGCTACAGCCCCATTTGGGATTTAAAACAGGGAGAAAGCAGACCAGCGAAAGCCAGTTTGAACAGACTGATCTGGCTGTTGCCCTTGTTGGCAAATGCTTCGGGCCCTTCCTTTTAATTGTTTTGTTTGTTTGTTTATTTAGGTTTTTTGAGACAGAATTTTGCTGTGTAGTTCAGGATGGTCTTGAACTCACCATGTAGCCCAGGTTGGCCTCGAACTCATGTAATCCTCTCCTTGTGGAATTGGATTCCAGGCTCTTCTTGTCTGCAACAAAGAATTCAATAAAATGAGAAAAAGTCAGTAGCAAAGTTTATTTGAAAAAATAAATGTGAAAAGAAAGAAACTTGCTCTGTAGATTGAGGTTGAACCAAGTGAAAGAGGAGAAAGCAAGATAGAAGTAGAAAAAGCAGGGTAAGCTATTGTGATGAAGCCCACAAGAGCAATCTCTTCCTGGTGTCTCTGTCCTTTTATACCATCCAAATCTAGAGGAAACCCATGAGAACTTTTATATACAGGTGCTAAGAGGCAGTGCTGGGATCCTATGCCTCATGCTGACATCCTGTTGTGAACCTGCCTGGCTTCTCATGAGAAGTCCACAGGGCTTTGAGAACTATTCTACACATCCTTTGTGAGACCTTAGAATTAACAGATCATGCCTACTTCTCCCCAGCCAGTTTTTCCATGCCTTAATCTCCTATGTCACTGTGATGAAATACCACTTAGTAGTAAAATTGAACTGTTGACACATGCCTCAACATAGATGAATCCCAAATTAATTGGGTACGGAGAAAAATTTGGGCCCTAGAAAATTCCACTCATTAGAAGTTTTCTAAAAGAGCAAATTTATACAGAATGGAACATAGATTGACAACAAACAGACTAGAGGGAATGTTGGGGTTACTGGAATTGCTCCAGAACTAGATTTATTTTTAGTTTGCAAAAATATATTAAAAGTGATGATATGTTTAATCTTCTTAATGACCATCCATCTAGCAGCCTTGAATATAAAAACCTTTTTAGCCCTATTTCCAGATTTCAACTCATACTTTACTTGGGGAACATAGAATACTAGATCTTTTAATTAATTAAGTGATTGATTGATTGAGATGTAGTTCCAGTGGCCTTGAACTCACTATATAGTCCAAGCTGGCCTCAAATTTAGGGCAGTCCTCCTGTTTGAGCCTTCTAGGTAGTGGGATTACAGGTGTGTGCCACTATGTGTGGCTAGATGTTATTTTTTCATCAACAAAACTAGATTTTGATGATGGATATATACCATTAACTTTTTTTTTTTTTTTTTTTTTTTTTTTCAGTGTTTTTTTTTCGAACTTGAGGCAGTGACACCACTGAGCTACATCCCCAGCCCCATTAGCATTTTATAAAACAGAATAGTTTATAAACATCTATGTTAAATTATACAGAGTAAAAGAAAAGTAGTTTTGCTGTTAGGGGCTAGATGCCCCTGAATAGGATACATGGATGCCCTTGAAGATTTATATGACCTAGGTTGATTAGAGAAACAAGTCTCAGAGCCACCTATATACTGTGGCTCTTTGCTGATGAGAGAGCCCCTTGAGGGTATGTTTGCCTGTTATATTGAACTGAAATTCTTGGTATGCTTGAAATGTGCACTTTGAGGACTTCATGATAACTTTCTCTGTTTTCTCCCTTGTAAGTCCTGTTAGTGATTTTAATAAAGTGATGGTCCAGGACTTGATTAGGTCTGTCAGATACTGAGACCTCATCTGGTTCAGAGCACATTAGAATACAGAATTCTTGAGTGAGGGCTGGGGATTTAGCTCAGTGGTTCCGCTGCCTGCTTCGCAAGTGCAAGGACCCGAGTTTCATCCCCAGTACCAAAAGAAAAAAAAAGGACTGGGAGTGTAGGTCAGTGTAAGGCCATGGGTTCGATCCCCAGTACCACCCAAAACAGAATTCTTGAGTGAATTGGATAAAAACCCAAAATATCATCTTGGTTAGGAGTGTTTCTAGGGGAAACATGCAAAGCATTCCAAATGACTGCATTAAATGTGTTTTCTCCTTAGGCGATTGTGGAGAACAACCTCCCCTCCAAGATTGCTAGCAAGATCAACCTTGTGGACCTAGCAGGCAGGTAATTAAGATTTCAAAGCCAGAGCTGGGGATTTAGCTCAGTGACACTGTACCTGCCTGGCAAGTGCAAGGTCCTGAGTTAGATCCCTGGTACAAAAAAAAAAAAAAAAAAAAAAATTTCAAAGCCAAGGAGAATTATGCTCTTGAAAATTTTCTGCCTCTTGTACACAGAATAAGCTTGATCCAGTCTTTTCTATTTTCTTTCTTTTTTTTACATTTTAGCTATCCTGAGAAAATTACAAGAGTATCAAATTCTACCAGCCCCCCAGCCCCTGGAGGCTGAGGCAGGCGAATTCCAAAGTCAAAGCCAACCTGGTTATAGAGTGAATTAAAAGCTGGTATAGATTATATAGCAGATCTTGTCTCAATCAAGAAAACAGTCAAGCAAAAACAAATTCTTTGAGTGCTAGGTTAAACAGTAGTGTGTTGGTGGCTGAAAGATCCTCTGTATCAGGGATTCTCAATCTTAGCTGCCCATTAAATCTCTTGGGGACCCTTTAAAGTTCCCAATCTGTGGACCTTAGATAAACCAGATTTTTAGTATGAGAGGAATGTAGGCACTGATATTTGTTTGTTTGTTTTTGAGACAGAGTCTTCCTACGTAGTTCAAGCTGGCCTTGAACTCACTATGTAGTCTGTGCTGGCCTCAAACTCATGGCAACTGTCCTGCTTCAGGCTTCCCAATGCTGGGATTACAGATGTGCACCACTACGCCTGGCATTGAGCTAAATTTTGGAGTAATTTATTTTATGAGTTTTGTTTTTGTTTTTAGTGGTACCAGGGATCAAATTCAGAACCTTGCACTTGTGAGACAGGTGTGGTGGCACTGAGCCCTGGCCCCCTCTATGAGTTTTTTACAACATGAATAAAGTCTAGTCTTTTAAATAACATTATAAAGGTAGTGCTTGTTTGCTCTTATTTTTGTTTTCTTTGATTATGTTCTAGTGAAAGAGCAGATCCCAGTTACTGTAAGGACCGGATTACTGAAGGTGCCAACATCAACAAGTCCCTTGTGACTCTGGGAATTGTCATCTCCACTTTAGGTATTTGCTGATTGACAAGATGATTGCGATGGGAGGGAGACTTTGGAAGATAAATTGCATTATTTTCATCTTGTCACAGTGGGATAGACACAAGGTTCTTTTTGATAAGGTTACCTACCTTTTGGATCAAGGCATGAGAAATGGACATTTATCTGTAATTATAGAGACCAGTGTGACCCTCATTCTAGCACTGTCATTTCAAGGAGGGTACAAAAAAATGATGTCACTCAATCCGAGTCATGCATTCAAAGTCTGGTAGTGCTTGGATTTGAAGCATTCTGTCACATGCAGAATGGAACAATTGTAATACTTAAGTTTGTGTCCTCAAACCATTGTTCTTTTTTTTTTGGTTTTTTTGAGACAGGTTCTCACTATGTAGTTGAAACTGCCCTGGAACTCACTGTGTAGCCCAGGCTGGTCTCGAACTCACAGTGATCCTCCTGCCTCAGCCTCCCGAGTGCTGGGATTACAGGCGTGCGCCACCATGCCCGGCCCATTGTTTTGTCTTAATGCATTTGCTTCATAATTCCTTTTTTCTTCCACTCTTATCGTCTATCAAGCCCAGAACTCCCAAGTGTCCAGTAGCTGCCAGAGCCTCAGCAGCCCAACCAGCAGTGGTGGTGGAGACAATGGGACTCCTTATACTTTGGGGACCAGCAGTGGTGGGGGAGCCTCCCGGAGGCAGTCTTACATCCCATACCGGGACTCTGTGCTGACCTGGCTGCTGAAGGACAGCCTTGGAGGCAACTCAAAGACCATCATGGTTGCCAGTAAGTGGGTTCCTCGTGCTGCTTCTGTGTCGGGTGAGAATTCCACCCTGACTGCACATGCGCCTCATTTCTTCAAGGGGTTCTTAGGCAGTGTGGGCAGTAACAGCAAGGCAAGTGGTGGAGGTTGCTTCCTGAAGGGCTTGGCATATTTTTCTGATTTCTTCTACTTCAGCTGTGTCTCCTGCACACACCAGCTACAGTGAGACCATGAGCACACTCAGATACGCATCCAGTGCCAAGAACATCGTCAACAAGCCACTGGTCAATGAGGTGAGACCATGGGTACTATATACAGTGTTCTTGTTTTTTTCCTGTGGATTTGATTTATCCTTGTATTCTCCCCAAATTGCTAAACTTATTTTCCAAATTATGAGGGATTGAAAATCTTTCTTCCAGGCCAGGATTTAGCTCAGTGGCACTATGCCTGCCTTGCAAGTGCAAGGTCCTGAGTTCAGTCTCTGGTACTAGGGGGAGGGGGAATCTTTCTTCCAATTCTATGTTATATTCTTCTCTGATATCCCTGCTGAATGTATCAGTGACCTTTTACAAATAATTTATTTTTAAGTATTTCTTGAAGGTCATTCCTCTTAAGATCCTCAGTATATCAGTGCTATACTAAGCAAGGTTCTTTAAAAGTTTCTGTTTACTGCTTTTATTTTCAATTGATGCTATTTGTACCTTTTATTTTTTATTTTTCCCATACTAAATTGCAGTGGGTTCTCTCTTTTAAATTTAAAGGGGAAGGAGTATAAGAAATTCATTCACTGCTTTTTTTTTTTTAAATGAAACAAGCAAAAAGCAGTGGCAAGTTTATTTGAGAAAGTAAAGAGTGAGGGAGAAATTTGCTTTGTAGAGTGACCTTGGGCTGAATAAAAGGACTACTGTGAAGAAAATCAATGAGAGGGCCAGGGATTTAGCTTAGTGGTTCTGCTGCCTCCCTCATAAGTGAAAGGACCAGAGTTTGATCCCCAGTACCAATAAATAAATAAATTAATTAATTAAAGAAAAAAAGAAAATCAATGATAGCCTTTTTTTTAAAAAAAAAAAACTAGAGAATTCATTGGTTTTGACAGTCTAATAGTAAGGAAAATATTCCAGATGTTCTTTATCTCCTTTGCAAGTTCTAGTACAGAGATCAGAACTGGTGGCCACACATGTATAGTCCATCTAGGGTTTGTTTTAAAAGGCATCAAAATGCTAAATGTGGTGTGAGTTTAATCCTAGCACTTGGAAGGCTGAGGCGGGAGGTGAGAAATTCAAGGGTCAGCCTGGGCTACATAGTGAGTTCAGGGTCAGCCTGAACTAAACAGCAAGACCATGTCTTACCCCCGCCCCCAGGCAAAGTAAAGGTAAATTTCCAATACAGGAACACTAGCACTTACCAAGTATAGATGCCCTGCCATTAGTACTACCTTCCTGACCTCTTCCTCTAAAGTGATAATTCTCGAACTTTAGAGTGTATGCAAAAATCACCTGGAGAATTTGTTAAAACTCCAGCCCTTTGGAATTGTTGATCTCCTAGGTCTGGGGTGGGGCCAGAAGTTGTATTTCTACAAATTTTCAGATGAAGTTGATACTGTTGGTCCTGAGACAGTACTTTGAGGAGAATTAGTGTAGAAGTTATTGCTAGAGTAATCCACTACTTCCAAGCTAGTTGCGTGCAGTATTTCACAGCTGACTGGGCTCTGACATCCATCCTCAGTGACTGAATTTTCTGTTTCAGGATGCAAATGTGAAGCTCATCAGGGAACTCAGGGAAGAGATCAGGAGGCTGAAAGCCATGTTGCTGAGCTTCGAGCTGGTATATGGGCAACCACAATGTTTCCATATTTAAATGGAGTTCTCCTCTTGAGCTCCTTTTTTCTGCAAGCATCTGGTCCTGCTGCACTCCATCTTTCCAGTTGACACTCAGGGAGCAGAGACAGGAGGGGCATTACTCTGCTGTCTCTGGGTGGTCTCAAGTGGGTCAGGCATCCTTTCACTGTCTCGTCTCGTCCAGAGACCTCTTGCTCTGTGTGGGCAGGCATGGGCAAGAAGGTCCTTGAGGAAAATTGCTTGAATTCGCCTTTGTATTAATATGAGCCCAAATGTAGTAGTTACGCTTCTGATTTATTTCTGATTATAATAACAAAGTCTTTATGCTGTATCCTCTTTCACAAATGTAAGGGTAGGACCTTCCTGCATTCATTCCAGGAAGATATCAGAGCATATATCTCTGTCTTTCTGTTTCTTTAGAGAAACTTCAATTCCGTAAATGACAAAGAAAATGAAAATCTGAAGGAGCTAGTTCTCCAAAATGAATTAAAGGTAGGTATGTTGGGTGGACTGGTTGTACTTTACTTCATCCAGGAAATAGGTTTGATCTCCCTCCATTCATTCTTCCTGGGCTTAGCAGGGAAGAGAGATCCATCTAGTTTAAAATTTAGCCATCTTTTCCTCCATTAAGCCTTGACTAGGGAATGTGTTTGCTATAAGAGCTGGTAAATAGCTCTCTGGTTTTCTGTTTTATTCTGTCAGAGGTTCATGATAACTCCCTTTGGATATAGTGCGAATAGCCTAGGAAAAAAATTATTTTCCAGTCAGTAAGTCAATCAGCCAAAATGTGTTTAGTGATTGAGCACCAGATATATGCTTAATTTGGCTCTCCAAGAGATGCCAAGGAGGCTTTGTTCTCATGTGGCTCACAGCCTAGTGGATACACTTACAGAGAGGGGTGTGTTTTGTCAAGCAAATGATTTAGATGGAGAGTTTCAGGAAGGAAGAAGTCGTTGTGGCTTGGGGTTTTCAGAACTGATACCATAAGGTAGAGTTGGAAGTGAGAGAACTGACCTTAAAGGATTGATACAGTTGTTAGTTAGAAGGGGCAAGGCCTTTTGAGTGAGGGAGAGAGAACACATGCTAAGCCACATACCTAGGAGAGGCCTTGTGGAAGTGCAGGCTTGGAGAAGACGAGGCCAGCTAGACAGGTGTAATAGAGAGTCATGGAGGGAAGATAAGGCCATCTTAGAAGGGTGGACTTGATGTAATAAGGCTTGTTGATCACACTGGTAACATACATAGTGAAGGCGTGTAGTGAGGGAATAATAGGGCAGTTGTATGTAGGATGGATAGAAAAGAGTCAAACCTAGAAGCACAAAGACCCACCAGGAAAGACTGCTGTTGTGGCCTAGGCAGGGTGAGGACAGAGCATTTTGGAAAAATAGAATCAATGATGACTCTCAGAGGCACTTATAAAGAAGAAATGTTGGGTACATATTACTTCATTGAGGGGTTAGATTTAGACCCTACAACCAAATATTCCAATTATCAGCATTCTGTTGTATCATTCTTATATATTATTAAAGTATCCTGGGTGTGCCAGCATTTTGTTAGCACCACTGAACTTTAGAACTGTATCATACATCCAGAAGTTTTTCAGAAATTCTTAGTTTAGCCATATGTTCTGAGTTTTGATTCAGAAAATACTATCTTTCTATAAAAGAGATATAGTAGAAAGGCAGAAACCAGCTTTTTACAGGTACCCTGTAGTTTCATTGATTTTCAAAATTCAAATCAATAACTGCAATGTTTAAATAATGTTCTAGAGTATATGAAGTATTTGAAGCTAAACTTGGCATAATTTTTTCCCAAAATATTCCCTTTATGAGAGAACTGCTTACCTGAATTCAGTCTTTTTTGGAGCTTCTTTAATTTTTCCATTCCCAGGATAAGCTCATCAGTTCCCCAAAAAGAAGAAAACAGACCTTACGTTCAACATGTTCATTCATGTCCCTCAGGCACTCTTAGCTTTAAAGGCCTCTAAGCCTCAGTATATTTATTTAAGTCTGTTCCCAGCACACAGTAGTAAGCATTTAATGTTTTATTATTACATTGTTGTCAGACAAGTTTCATATAGTCTTAATTCTGATGGGATGATTCTTGTCAGTGCCTTATGTATCTTTGAACCACATGCAAACTTACAACTCAAACTACATTTTGGGAACACGGTGTTAGATCCTAAGGAGAATCCCACATATGAATCACATAGAAGTAATCAGGGAGAGGGAAATTAGAAACGTAGATTTTTTTTGCTTTTTTTGTTCTTTTGTTTGGTACCAGGGATCGAACTCAGGACCTTGAGCTTGCAGGGCAGGTGGTGGCACCACTGAGCTAGATCCCCAGCCCTTGTTTTGTTTTTTGTTTAAACAGGTGTTGGAGTAACGTACCAATTAATTTTTTAATTTTAATTTTTGAGACAGTCTTGCTATGTAGTTCAGGCTGACCTTGAACTCAGTGATCTTCCTACCTCAGCCTCCCAAGTTCTGGGATTACAGGTGTGCACCACCATGTCCAGCACCAATTAATTTTTTAAAAATGAAGAATAACATTTAATTTTTTTCTAGTTAGGGCAGTGCTTACTACAGAAAACTTTAAAAATAGGATTCATTGGGCCAGGGATTTAGCTCAGTGGTGCTACCTCGTGTCCTGCAAGCTCAAGGTCCTGAGTTTGATCCATGGTACCAAAAAAATAAAAATAGGATTTATTGAAAAAGTGTCTGTTTATGAAAGTTAACCATTGCTTATTAAAGATTTCAAAACAGAGTTGGCAGTTGCAAGAGGTATGAAGGGCTCTGTCAGCTTTGAATAATAACAGCGAGGATCATCAGAAAATAACACCCTGAGAACATAGGTGATGGTGACTTTTGACCTCTCATCTGCTCTATCCACTGGGTATCTGGATCCTCTCCTGTGCCCCTGCAGATGGACAAGCTGACCAATGACTGGACCCAGAAGTGGCATGACTGGCAGGCCCTAATGGAGCACTACAGTGTGGACGTCGGCAGGAGGAGGGCTGGGGTGGTCATTGACTCCAGCCTGCCGCACCTGATGGCCTTGGAGGAAGATGTGCTCAGTACGGGTGTTGTGCTCTATCACCTCAAGGTGCGGAGGCCAGTGCTCCTCCTGTCCCCTGGAGCCACGTCTGTGTGAATTGAGACAGATCCACAGAGCAGTCTTCTAGTTTCCTCTCAGGAAACCCATCTTGCTGACTAATTTGTGATCTGTTTTGATTTTGCATAAATGGAGTAGAAGACTGGAAATCAGAACAATCTTTTTTTTTTCCAACTACTATTGATTTTTATTAATTTGCTTCTGTTCTCTGTGCCTTAATTTCCTCATTTTAAAATAAGAATGATACTTTTTATGTTTCTTTTGTGGCTTCTGAAGCACAGAGGTACAGGCTTAATGAAATCCTAATTTCAAAAGTGCTGTTACTGGAAACCAGGTTCTGTGACATGTGCCTGTCTGTACTTCCCGCTACTTAGGAGGCAGAGGCAAGAGGACCACTTGAACCCAGAAGTTCAAGGCCAGTCTGGGTAATGTAAGACCCTATTGCAGGGGAAAACAAAAAATAGGGCTGGGGATTTAACTCAGTGATTCTGTCACCTGCCTCTCAAGCACAAGGACCTAAATGTAATCCCGTGTACCAAAAAAAAAATAAAACAAAGCAAAAAAAACCTTAGTGTTCCTAAACCCTACAAATATAGTTTGCTCAAAGATGAAGAAATTGAAAAGACTTGAAAGTTTTCTTCAACCCCCAAATCAATGAAAAATGCACCTCCTACTTCTCCATCTAGAAAAGAAGCAGAGAGAGAGAGAGAAAGTAGATAAGCTTGAGCTTTGAGTTTAAAGCATGAGGGAGGATCTGGAAAGCAGAGGCAGGGCTGGCTGGCTGGTGACACGCACCCTTCTAGAAAAGATAGGCAAGGTCATGAGTTTGATCTCTGGTACCAAAAAAACAAACAAACAAAAAAAGTGCAGTATAGATAGAATGAGGGCCAGGGATTTAATTCAGTGCCTCCCAAGCTCAAGGTCCTGAGTTGCATTCCTAGTAACCACACCCCACCACCAAAAAGAGAAAAAAGAATGAGTTTAAGACCGTCCACACAAGACCAGCTCACCTGGCTTTTGTCACCTGGAGATTTTTTTTGGGGGGGGGGCTTTGTTTTGTTTTTGTTTGAGACAGGCTCTCACTACATAGTTGAAATTTGCCTTGAACTCGCTGTGTATCCCAAGCTGGCCTTGAACTCACAGGAATCTTCCTGCTTCAGCCTCCCAAGTGCTGGGATTAAAGGTGTGCACACCACACCTGGCTTGGTTTTATTTTTTGAAATAGGGTCTCACCATATAGTTCAGTCTGGCCTTGAACTCACTGTGTAGCCCAGCCTGGCCTTGCACTTAGTGATCCTTCTGCCTCAGCTTCCTGAGTACTGGGATTACAGATGTGTACCACCATAGGTAGTTTAGGTCATCATTTTGAAGTGAAGTAGTGTTAAGAGTTAGTGACCCATAGTAATCTTATGTCCTGTTCTCATCAAATACATCCTTGTGTGGGAAGACAGAATGACAGAAGGTATTTCAAAATCCCTGGGCTCACTGAAAATCCAATTTGCATTTTCATAGGTGTTCCCAGATTATATTTAAAAGACCAAAGAAAGAATTGATGGGGGAGGGCCGGGGATTTAGCTCAGTGTTTCCACCGCCTGCCTCGCAAGCGCAAGGACCTGAGTTTGATCCCTGGTACCAAAAAAAAGAAGAAGAAAAAAAAGTAAAAGAAAGAATTGATGAGGGAGAGATAGGTAAGTCTACTGTTTTCCTGGGAAAGTAGGCTTTGCCTGTGGCAGTGCATGTGGAAGAGAAACTTTAGCAAAGCTCATCTCTGTCCTCAGGATGAGCCCTTGGGAAGATGTTGGGCTGAACAGTTCAGACAGAAAGTTAAAAGTAGCTTATTATCTTGGACACTAGGTATAAATTGTCTGAGTGAAATGCCTCATCTGTCTACCTTAACAGCAAATCTAAACACCAAAGCTGTAATCCTTCCTTTAGGACCACAGGGACATAGGGAGAGGTTCGGGGTGAGCAGGAGACCAAGTGGATTAAAATGGTCAGTGAGTGCATCTGATCTGTTGCTTGGATGTGGAGTGTGCAGGGGAAGTTAGATGTTAAGCAGCAAAACTTAGAGGGTGGCAGAGGGATGAAGCTGTGCCTTCTAGATTGAGACCTGTAGAGGAGCGAGAATATTGCCTGAACCACAGGGCTGCTGATATTCACTTAGTGTGTAGAAAGGGCTTAATTGCTTCTTGATACATTTCCAGTGGACCTGTGTGATGCAGTTTTAGTTTGCGTCTAATTCTGGCACTTGGCATTTTATGTACCCATATTTTTAATTTTTTGTTTAGCTCCTGATTGAGTAATGGTATAATAGCAATGGCCCAAGATTCTTTGTGTTTTTGTTTACTTTTCTCACTTGGTCACTGACCTGGAAGTGGTCCCTGGTGATACTCTGGAAATGGTTTTCCCTTGTGTCACCTTGGGAAGCTCTTAGGTTGGAAAGGGCAGAAGGAACAATGGGCAGAGCATCAGGTGCTGCCATCCTTATAATCATCTTTGTGCCTTTGACTCTTCCCGTATAATGAAGCAAGAGGAGAAGCAATCACAGGTACTTCTTATCCAAGATGTTACCTCCTTTTGGGGTACTTTCTGCCCTGTACATCTAGACATTGTGATGTGCTGTGGCCTTTGTCCTTTCAGTAGGAGTGTGCTCCACTGTCAGGGCTGAAAAGACTGGCTAAGTGTATGTAGGGAGGAGAGGCAGAGGAGCACACAGTAAGGTCACAACCTCACTCATTGCTTTAGGGTTCTTCTGTGTCAGTGTAGTTAGGGGGAGCTGCAAAGATCTCTCTGCTCCTGCTGCTGACAGTGCAGTCTAGTAGAGAACTCTGGTTACTTTGAAAACAAAATGCTGGGGGAGATAGGGTAAAGTTGAAAAGGCCTAGGCTTAAGAGTTCAGAGGGACCTAAAGTCTAGTCACAGCACTCCTACTTACTATGTGGGTTTATTCCCTTGAAGCTTCAGATTCATTGTCAAGTGAAACATATGCCTACATTTTGTAGTCGGGTGTGGTGGCACAGTCCTATAATGCCAGCATTCAGGAGGCTGAGGTGGGGACAACTGTGAGTTTGAGGCCAGCCTGAGATACATAGTGCAAGGACAGCCTGCCTGAACTACATAGTGAGAACTTGTCTTTAACTCAAACCAAACAAATAAAAAACTCCATACATTTTAAGTTGTTAAAGAAAAGATTATGTTTAATAAAGCACTCAGCTTAATGCTTGGGACATATTAAATGTTATCAGTAGGTTATAAAGACATATCTAACATTTGTCATTTCTGTTGCTCTTTTGCTGCCTTCCTCAAGAGACTTGAACAGATTTGCTAAAATCCAAGGGCCAAAAGGCCTTGTCTGCTGCCAGCTCAGTGACTTATTTATAGTACTAACTCCAATTTTCCTTGCTTTCTTGTACTCTATTCCAGTTCTCTTTGGTTCTAAAAGTGCTTTTCTGTAATCCCAGCACTCAAGGGAGGCTGAGGCAGAAGGATCGCTGTGAGTTGAGACCAGCCTGGGCTACATAGTTCCAGGTCAGTGTCAACTACATAGTGAGACCCTGTCTCAAAAAAAACAAAAACAAAAACAAAACAAAAAGTACTTTTCTCCTGTTTGTGCTTTACTCTTAGAATCTGGTGTCTGCTAAACTTCATTCACTAACAACGAAAGTAACAATAATGAGTTTCCATAAATCTTCATAAAAAGGTCATCTCCTTGAAACTTACTGGATCAAAGTTTAGCCCCTTTAAGGGAAAGCTAGCCTGTGCCCATTTCCTTGGGATAGAGTATTTTTGACTGATGACTGTGGCTCTTCATAGCTTAACTTTAGGCTGTAGGACAGAAAGGAGTTTGCCAACACTTTTTAGGCTTTGCAGATGCCTGGTGTTGTACTGTCTTATCTATTTGCTTCAGTCATCTCTGGGCTACAGAGAGAGTAGGCAGAGGGTCGGAATAACTTTTCCCAAAGTCAAGAAAGGTACAGGAAAGGCTGGGACACTCCAGTGTGGGTTGTCCTTTGAGGGCAGAGCAGTGTCCCTTTGTATTCTTACTAAAATGGCTTTCTCTCCTCCCCCTTCCTTCCCATAGGAGGGGACAACAAAAATAGGAAGGATTGACTCAGACCAGGAACAGGATATTGGTAAGTGACAGTAAGTGTGGGTCTGGCACTTTGTGACAGTTACTTGTACCAAAAGGTTTCTTCAGAAGACTCTGATGATGCTCTGAGAAGAGAGAGTCTTTCAAGTATGAGAGGTCTGCTTCTCTTTCTGCTGTAAGACTTTCAGTCTGGAACATGGACAGAGGAGACCAGCACTGTAGGAGGATTTCAGCTCTGGGTGGTTTCAGGTGGTGGTTCTTCCTTTCTTGATATGATGGGAGATCTTCTGGGTTTTGGGTTCTTTTTTCTTTGGTTGGTTTTGGCTTTGGTTTTGGTTTTGGTTTTTTGAAATGCTATGTAATAGATGCTGACCTTGAACTGTGTAGCTCAGGCTGGCTTTGAACTCCCAATCTTCCATGTGCTGGGGTTACAGATGTGTGCCCCCACACCTAGCTCAGGTGTTGGATTCTGATCTCAGTAGAAGAATGGAGAATGTGTATACTTAATTGTCCCCCCTCTAAGTGCCCACCACCCCTTCTCTAGTCCTTCAGGGCCAGTGGATTGAGAGAGACCACTGCACAATCACCAGTGCCTGTGGGGTGGTCATTCTCCGGCCTGCCCAGGGGGCACGTTGCACAGTCAATGGCCGCAAGGTCACTGCCTCTTGCCGTCTGACCCAAGGTAGGATTTTCTACAGGCCTGTTTATAAGCAGGATGAAGGATGGACCAACTCTAATCCCATGGGCCCAGAGAGCTCAGAGAAGCAGGCTTTAAAGATCACCCAGCCTCTACAACTGGAGATCGAAGATTTCCTAATGTAATCCTCTTCATTCCAGGACCAGAGTGGAGAAAACCCTCTGCAATCTGTTCCTATGTGTGTTACTTTGTTTCTTTAAGAAAGTCTGAGCCTCAGTTTCCTCATCTGTAAAATGGAGATTTGGGAGGACTGAAAGAATGCTATCCTTATAAGGGTCTTGCATCATATACTTATTAAGGACCTGCCATCATTATTATTGTCACTACTGTTATTAATGTACTCAACTTTTGTCTGCCTTTTGAAACTGAGCTTAGACTCCCTTTCTTCCATGAAGCTGTCTCTCACAATACCCAGGCACTTTGTTTCTCTTAGAGTACGGTAGCTTCTGATATGTAATTATGAACTCTGCCAAAGTGTATCAATTAGTTGAGGGCATGAGTTTTGTCTACAGAATGGTACTCTGCGGAAAACATATACTCAAAGCATGATCTGCTGGCTGAATTCTCATCTATCTCTGTGGTGCAGGAGCTCTCATAACCTTGGGAAAAGCACAGAAGTTTCGATTCAGTCACCCAGCGGAGGCTGCTGTGCTGCGGCAGCAGCGGCAGGTTGGTGTGGTTGTGGGTTCCAGGGTGCTGCTGGCTATGGTGTTTCTTTTTCTTTCTCTCCCTTCTCCTCCTCCTCCTCCTCTTCCTGCTCCTCCTATCTCTCTTCCTGCTCCACCTCTTCCTCCTTTTCCTCCTCCTTCTCTCACTCTCTCACTCTTGTTCTTGCTCTCTAGTTTTTTGAGATAGTGTCTTGCTGTATAGTCTCAGCTGTCCTGGGACTCATGATCATTCTGCCTTAGCTTCTTGAGTGCTGGGATTGCAGATATTTGCTGCCACACCTGGCTCCTGCGGTTTTTCAGGAGAGAAGTTTAAACTTTTCTGTGTTAACGTGGGCCTGGGCTCACTGTGCCTTCTTCTTGTTCCAGGTTGCAGAGGCCATTGGCAGCAGTGGTTCTTTGGAATGGCTGGACTTGGATGCAGATGTCCCTGCCTCTCGCTTGAGTCTCTGCCCTTTGCTTTGGAAGGAAAGGTGAGAAAGTGCTGCTCACACTGATACGGAGCCTCCTGGGTTGCTTCTCAGTCCAGTTTAGTATGGAACAGAGAGGTTACTGGTGCAGCACCAGGGTCCAAGTGAGCCTTGCTGTGCATCCACCTGGGCAGGTGATCTGAAGATGTGGGGCTGGCAGTGGAATCTGCACTGTCTTGGCCCTCACTAGTTTCCTGGTGGGCATCTCGGCTCTGTGTCCCTGAAAGAAGCCTGTCATTTGACGTTCCTGTGGCCACTTTTCTGTCACCAGTATGAACTGAGCAGTATTGGCAGGTGCTTTGATGCTGCTTCTGAACTTCTGAACTATTTGAGTCCCCTTGAAATTCTGGCCTGCCTATGTGTCAGTCCATAGCATCTCAGAGGCCCTCCAGGCTTTATGGCAACCTCTGAGGTATTAGGGATGGAACCAGGGGTGTTGTACCACTGATCTGTACCCAGTCCTTTTTATATTTTAGACAGCAGCTCATTAAATTGCCCAGGCAGGCCTCTTAACTTGTGATCCTCCTGCCCCAACTTCCCACATACCTGGGATTACAGGTCTTTGCCACCACATCCAGCTGGGTATTTAAAGCTAATCTATGAGTGAGGGTCCTTTATTTTTCCTTCTCATAATCAAAAATCCAGAAGTAGGCATAAGAGAAGTAGGAATAATATAAAATCATCTTCTGTCCTCTCGCATCCACTTCACCCACATTGTGACTTTAAAGGCTTGAAGTGGGAGTTTTATATTAATTGATGGTTACTGCTTTTTTATTTCATGGTTGTACTGTATCTGTTTTTTTTTTTTTTTTTTTTTTTTTTTTTTTCTTTTTGGTACTGGGGATTGAACTTAGGTCCCTGTGCTTGCGAGGCAGACAGTAGAACCACTGAACCAAGTCCCTTGCCCTACTGTGTATATTTCTACATAGAGTCCTTTTTCCAGGTCTAGATGCCTGGTGGTTTGGTTTTGGTGTTGGCATTTCCTGTGTACCTCTTCCCTATAGAAAATTTGAGCAGTGGCCTTAGTGCCTATAAGATTGCTGGTGTTGGGAGAGGGCCATATAACTTGTGCATAGCATTCTTGTTGGATTATAATAGCCATTGGTCCATTCAGAGGTGGCCAGGTGAAGATGGTTTTGGGTCTGACATCAGCAGGAATGGTATTGAATTGAGAGGGAAGCATGAACATTTGCATGTCATCACAGGAGGGGAACAAGCTCGGAAGGGTGCTATGGCAGAGATTAAGGGATGACAGTTCTAGGGTCAGGTGTCTGAGGACCTGGGGTAAAGGGTAAGGTGGGAGGGGTGACCTAGAATGGGGAGATCAAGGCATGGTGGACTCAGGACTAGGGCTGAACCTCTTATTTTATCATAGTTTCCTTCCCTTCTTATGTAGAACTATGTAGACCATGTAGTCTTTTGAAAAATCTTGTTTTTGGTAAGGTTTCTTTTAGACACATTGAAGATTGGTTTTTCCAGAGTTGGAGATTGACAGAAAACAGCTCTGTGGTTTAAAGAGCTGAGAATGTGGAAGAGATCCATTGGAGCTGGGCAGAAGTGGTTCTTATCCTGACTCCACCACATAAAAGTTATGGGATCTTAGGCAAGTCACTGAACCTCTGAGCCTGCTTCCTCATCTCTAAAGTAAGGGTAGTACCTTTTCTTTCCCAAGGATCTTGATGATAAAGATTGAAAGAGCAAGTGTATGTGCACAGCGCTAACCCACCCGCTGTGTGCATCACTGGGAGGCTGGAGGACAAGCTGCCAGGAGGGCAGCCTCCTTTCTTTTCTTTTTTTCTTTTCTCTTTCTCTTTTTTTTGGTACCAGGGATTGAACTTGGGACCTTGTGCTTGTGAGGCAGGTGGCAGAACCACTGAGTTAAAACCCTAGCCCTAGCCGGGTGTGGTGGCGCACACCTGTAATCCCAGCACTCGGGAGGCTGAGACAGGAGGATCACTGTGAGTTCGAGACCAGCTTGGGCTACATAGTGAGTTCCAGGTCAGTCTCAACCACATAGTGAGACCCTGTCTCAAACAAAAAAATTCCTAGCCCTGGGCTGCCTTCTTTCTGTGTCCTGTCCTCCCATCTCAGGTGACTTGTGCACCCCAGAGCACCCTGTGTTCTCCTTCTGTCTTTTTTTTTTTTTTTTCGGCTTTAATTGAGTTTTTTGGTACATTTTAGGGATGCAGTACAGTTACATTCATTGTTGGGATCTTGTACCTCTACATGACAAGTCTTGATTCTCATTTTTTCCCCTTACCCCTGCCCTCCCTTCACCCCCTCCTCCCCTCCCCATCTACAAACACTTTATTTTCATCTTTTCATTATCTCACATTTTTTTCTTTTCCCTTATTACCCTTCCCGTACCCATCCCACCTTCCCTACACCTTTAGCTCCTTTCTTCCCATTTCTAAATGTCTCCTGAGGCTCTCCGGCCCCACAGCGCTGACAGGACCTTTCATTAAGTAACACCAAGTATGTGCCCTTTCAGAGGCTAGAAAAGGACTTCATAATCAGGGCCATTCCCACCTATTGCCGCCTCCATTTGGTACTGATTCTGGGAGTTCATAGGCTGGGCTTGGGCTGGTCTATAGTCAACTGAGTGCTAGCTTCTGCTCAGTTGGTGTGGTGCAGTGCTCAAGTCTGTGATTGGGCAAAGGGACCAGGGAGTGGAACTTATGAGGGGGAAGAAAGTGCATGTTGCCAGCTGTGCACCCAGTCTGGATTTCTGGCTGGGTCTCTATGAGAGTCTTTCCTGCTCCTAGGAGGGCTTGACTCTGAAGCCTTCCCGTGTCCTAGGCTTCTTTTCTCTCTGGAGGAGCATTCGTACAAGCTGGAGCCGACTGCAGGGCCAGAGGAGATTGACCAGTCTGCCCTCCTTCTTCTTGTAGCAATGCTCTAGACTAGGCTGGCTTTGTCCTTGAAAACTGTTACCTGTGTTCTTGGCATTCCTTAAATTCCCAGAATGTGGGAGATGCTGCCACTGCTTCTTCTGCCCCCACTCCTACCTTAGTAAGTAGACACTGCTGCATTCTGCTGCACTCTGAGCCAGCAGAGAGGGCTGTGAGAGCAGAGAGAGCAGAGGGCACAGTGGAGTCCTGGCAAGCAGGTGACTGGGCACTAGCTAGGGCATGCTGGAGCTGTTGAATATGAAGGCAGCCACATGATAGAGACAAAGACCTATGGCTATGGGTGATGAAGGATTGCCCTTGGTGAATTACCAGAATGTAGCATAAGGTTAGTGTTTTCTTTTTCACTTGGTTTTGGGAACCTCACTAGCAAGGGAGCCCTTCTGCCTGACCCTGTAGGTGTCTTGGCTGAGGGTATTATGTCCACAGTGATCACACAGATAGCCTCTCCCTGCAGGTTCTGTTGCTGCTGTGAAGGGAACTGTTGTGGTTGCTGCCTTCCTAGGGGAAGTACAGGGGGAACTGTCTTGTAAGGGGTTAGGGAGATAGCCAGAGAAGGAAGCTGCACTCTCAGGGAACTCTCCTCCCTGCCTCTTGCATCTGGTGGTCTATGGGCCTGGCACCCTCTGATAGGCTCGTATTTGCAATTCAGCCATTTGTGTGGTCAAAGGTTAGAACGGCAGTATAGACGTGATAAATATAAATGTATGCATGACATGATATATAAATGTATGTATAAAACAGTTTCCATTAAATGTTTTTTGGGCTGGGGATTTGGCCCACTGGTTCCGCTGCCTGTCTGGCAAGCGCCCAAGTTCGATCCCTGGTACCATTAAAAAAAAAAAAACTGAAAAAAAATGTTTTTCCTTTTCCTTTCTTTTGTTTGTTTGCTTTTGTTTTGAGATACAGACTCCCTATGTAGTCTAGGGTGGCCTTGACCTCAAAGTGATCCTCCTGCCTCAGCCTCCCAAGTGCTGGGATTACGGGTGTGCACTATCACACCCAGTGTTTTTCCCTTTTGTTTGGCATTAGCTGGATTTCTGTTTTGGCTGTCTTCCGTAGTCTTTCTGCCTCATGTGTGATAGAGGGTACCTTTCCAGAGTTTGTACGTTCTACTGTGTGTGTCTATTGCCCATAGTAGTCATTATCAGTCTTCTCCTGAGCACACTTTCTCAGGTATCTGGCCTTTGAACCTTGGACCCACTACATATTGAATCATCCTCACAGCCCCTTTCCCAGAGAGGAGAGAATGATTGCCAGTCTCTGCTTCCATTCCCTATTTCACCGATTTAAGACTGCATTATGAAATTAAAATTTTTTAAAGACAGGGTACTTAGAAACTTAGTGAACTTTTTCTGTGAAGACTTAGTATTTTGGGCCATGTAGAGTCTGCCACAGCTATTCACCTCTATCAGTGTGGCCCCAGAGCAGCTTTAGACAGTATATAAACATATGGTCGTGGTTGTGTTCCAGTAAAACTTTATTTACAAAATCAGGCAGCAGGCCAAATATGACTCACAGACTGTAGTTTGTGGACCTCTGCTTTGATACTCTGATTTCATTCTGTTTTACAGTATCACTATTTTGTTAAATACCCAAAACAAGCTGGGTATGGTGGCTCACAGCTATAATCCCAGAACCCTACTCCCACAGGTAGGAGGCCAGCCTGAGCTACGAAGTGAGTTAAAGACCAGCCTGAATTACATAGTGAGTCCCTGTTTTAAAAAAAAACAAAAACAAAAAAACCCAAAGACAATCACCTTTAAAAAAGGAAAGGTGTATTTTGGCTTAGTTTTAGTCCATGGTTGGTTGGTTGATCTTGTTGCTTTTGGACCAGGTGAGAATCTCATGGTTGTTTGGTAGAGGAAGCCCTCACTTGATGGTGGCCAGGAAGCATGGAGAGAAACAGGAGGTGCCAGGTCCCTACATCCCCTTCAGTGCCACACCCTCATGATTTAACTTCCTCTAGCTGGGCCCCATTTTCTAAAGTTTTCCCTACCACCGTTAGTGCCAAGCCTTCACATAGAGGCCTTTGGAGGTCTTTCTAGATCCAAACTCGAAAATAGCTAAAAAAAACAAAACAAAACAAAACAAAAAAAACCGCAAACAAAAGATCCACGCCCTACCTTGTGGAGGTCTGAAAAGAATGAATCCCTTAGCACACAGCGCTCTCACCTCTTTAGACCTGGTTCTAGCATCAGCTCAATGACCGAGTCTCTAAACCTGTGAGCCATGACATTCTGGGAATGGAATAAGGGCTTATTCTGGCCTTATGGTTAGCCTCTGGCAGAATCTGACTTGTCCCAACCACTCCCTTCCCGTCCCTGCGTCCATATAGCTGGCTCCTTTATTTTTTATATCCATCCATCCATTTGTCCATCCATCCACACATCTGTCCATCTGTACGTCCGTACTGTGTTGCCCAGGTTTCCTTGGGTTTCTGGTCCAAGCAATCCTGACCTCCCAAGTAGTCCCCACTACTGCTCCATGCAGTCGCCTCTGTAGAAGCTTGAAGGACAGGATTGGAAATAATCTGAAGAAACAGTGTTGGAGGCACTTACATAGAAGACTGTGCATGACCAGGGCAAAGGTCAGTGTAGATAGTAGCTGTCAATTTTCAAAGGAAGCCTCTGATTCATCTCTGGTGATACAGGAACCTGCCATCAGTAAACCATTACCACAATCTGGAATTCTTTATAAATTGTTTATTATGGTAAATTTCAGCACAAAATATCTACTCCTGGCTACTCTTTTTTAGTTGATGTCCATACTCACATTCTCCTACTTCTCCCCACTGGAACTACGGAAAATTAGGAAGTATTTCACCAGTAAACACTATAGTATAAGTCTCTGAAAAGGTCTGGAGAAATGTAAAACTCTTAAGCCCTGTTCTGGGTAAGGGCTTCTTCAGCCAGAATAGCCTTTAAGGGACAGAAACTGAGTGTGGTGGCACATGCTTGTAATCAAGGCCAGCCTGGGTTACTGAGTGAGACTGTCTCAAAATACAAAAAACAAAAGTAAAAATGAACAGAGTCTCTTGATTGAGCTAAAGATTTTGTGTCTTTTAAAAATATTATTTTTCTTCATAATTTCCTTAATCAAAATACGTGTTTCTGCTGAACCAGTACTGTAAAAATGTGCTTTTTCTCTATTGCAGTGTGACATCATGAGCTGCCTGTTGTGATAACATGCCTATTTGTCCCAAGCTGTCAAAAGCCTGGTATAGCCTGTTGAATTTAGAGACTCTCTTAGAGGAACTTTAGACTACTACCAGTTTCTTCAGATCTGGGTTTACTTGGGTAACCTTGCTGCCCTTTGTAACAGGAGAGTGCTAGAAGAGCAGAGTGACAAGGACCACCAGCCACCAAGGGACAGAGGAACATCCTACAGAGCCCAGATTCAGCAGCAGCAGTGCTGTGCGGAAGATTTGAGGCAGCAGATCAAAGCAGGACACATTGGAGCTGAGAAGGATCTGGAATGGGACCAGGCTTACACCCACCAGAAGATTGGAGATAGTAGGTGTCCTGCACCCTGTGACATGTCCATCTCTCCTTCAGACTTCTCACTTGCATGATCCCCATAGCCTTCTATGTTCTCTCCTTTGTTTTCTCTGTGATACAATGGAATCTTTAGCATTAGGTGTTCTCGCCCTTCTTTTAGAGACCAGAGATGCTTCCAAGGAAGCAACAAAGAAGCTGTCTCTTTTATGGCCCCACAGAATGACGGGCCTCCTTCTCCCTCCACCTCCCTGGCACACTTGTCCATGCTTTTTTACCTGCCCTAGCACGTGCCCACTGTTGGGCTGAGGCTGAGTGTTTGTCCCCTTCCTCTGTGGTAAGGAGGTCCTCAGCCTCCCCCACCACATAACTCTAGCCAGCTCTTTGACTCCGCACAGGTCCAGCCCTGACTGGTGACACCAGAGTCCAGGCAGCCACAAGCAGGAAGGAAGGGCTGACTTTCTCTCTTGGGGTTTTGTTTTCCAGACCAGCAGTGGCTGTTTAGAGAACAGCAGCAAGAAGACGACTTTGGGGCAGAGAAGGAATCTGAAGCCTCGGGAACACCTGATACTTGCCTTCAGACAGATCCTGAGGCTCCATCCCCACCACTGGTCCATAGCCAGAAGAGGCTGGTGCAGCTGCAGCTCTCTGAAAGACGTGCCCCTCAAGCAGTGGAGCCGAACATCCCAAGAAAAAAGGCCTCATTGCAGGTAGACGGATTCATCAAGAACCAGAGGCTGCTGGAGGCCCAGGCAAGACTGGAGCAGCTCAGGGCATTATACTGGCTTCAGGATGAAAGAACCCAGCAGTCGCTATGCTGGATCCATAGCTCTGATTCCACGGCCCCACAGCCTCCATCTGGAAGCAGATGGACACACTGCAGTTCTCTGAGCTGCCAAAGGCTCTGCAGTGAGCATCTGCCTCCACTACACAGGTATATCAGTGGCTGTCACCTGGTAGCATGAGCTGGAGTTGACAAGTTTGTTGTCCAGTATTCTTTACTTTCTGGCGCCTCAGTTTCCTCAGTCTACAAAATGGAAAAATGTTTATTCCACTCATCAATTTTCTCCCCGCTGGTTTCTGTTTTTTTCTCTGTGTGTTTTCAGATTCTGGCTTTTCTTTTCACTTTCTCCCTGTCTTACTTTCTTGGGGGTGGTTTTTTTGAGACAGGGTCTCACTATGAGTTGAGACTGACCTGGAACTCATTGTGTAGCCCAGGTGGGTCTCGAACTCACAGCGATTCTCCTGCCTCAGCCTCCTGAGTGCTGGGATTACAAGTGTGCGCCACCACACCCGGCTTCTGCCTGTCTTACTTTTTAGTGACATTTTCTGAGTAAAATTATCTGTGTCACTTTTCACCTGCCTTTTAGACCCTGGCCGTCCATGTACATTTCCTTATGTGCCCTCCCATGCCTCTGCCTCCTCCTGCATCAAAACTGACTTCTCTCCTGCCCTTCCCAACCTGCTATGGCAAGTCAGTTTCCTCAGTTTCCTCCCCTTCGCCCTGTCTGATGCAGGAGCAGGAGCTGTCTTTCTGATTCTTAAAGAGGTTCATATTGAGGTTTCCTTCTTTCTTTTCTTCATGGGGAGAGAGTGTCTTATATCCTAGACTGTTTGGGTCAAGGGCCTAGATCTTATCCTCTTCAGAGTCTCAGGTCCTTGACCATAGGGGCTCACAATCAATGTCTGTTGGTGTTATGTTTGCTCACCTCTCTGGTCTTCAGGGTACTAAGCAGGCTTTTTCTTTTGACTTTTTATTATGGAAAATTCTTAAACACACAGAATATTATATGTATCATCCATATTCAGCCATTATCAAGATTGTTCACACTTGCTTTACCTCCCAACTTTCCCATTTTCTGAAGTATTTTAAAGCAACTCCTAGACATCATGTCATTTCAATCCTACATCTTTAAGTACACACCTCTAAAAAAGACTGTAGCCACACTGTCATTATTATACCTACCAAAATTAAGATTAATATAGTCTAAAACTTAAGACTATGTTCAGATTTCTCAAGTGGCCTCAAAAAATCTGTTTACAGTTGGTTTTTCAAATTAATCCAAATTTCCACACTATGTGTGACTTTTTTTTGGAGTGGGGTACTGGGGATTGAACCCAGGGCCTTCATACTGAGCTACATCTCCAGCTCTTTTATATTTTTCATTTTGAGACAGGGTCTTGCTAAGTCACTTAAGTTTCTAAGGCTGGGCTCAAGCTTGTGATCTGCCAAATATACCCACATTATAGATTTATCTGTTTAATTCTTTGTAATATCATTTATTTTATTATTTTTTATTTGTTTGTTTTGAGACATGGTCTCACTATGTAGTTGAGACTGACCTGCAACTTACTATGTAGCCCAGGCTGGTCTCGAACTCACAGTGATCCTTCTGCTTCAGCCTCCTGAGTGCTGGGATTGCAAGCATGTGCCACCATGCCTGGCTTGTAGTATCATTTAAATTATTCTTCCTCACATTGCCTAAAGGTGTGATTAGATGGAATTCTGCTTTTTTATATAAAACAAAGAAATAGAGGAACACATTGTATCTGGAATTTCTCAGAGAACCAAGACTCTAGTTTACTTGAAACTTATCAAACTTTTTTCTGACCCTGAAATCAGTAGGATACAGTGACATTGGGCCTGATTTTTAACCTCTTCCAGAGCAAACATTCCTTCTTTCAACAGGAAGTAGGAGCCTTTTATACTCAGTTTCTGAGAATAATTTTCCTTGTCTTCACAGTGCTTTTCTGAATTGGGATCTCTCTACCGTGTTACCGCCTATGCCTGACCCTACTCAGCAAGTGTCAGAGAAAATTCCACGGGCTGACCATGTTTCCTCAGCAGCTGCTTGCCTTCCAAGGACACGTTGTCTCCATAAGAGTGATCGCTGTCCCTCAGGCCAGGGGCTGCTCTGCATGGCCAAGAAAGACACCTTAGCTCCAGGCACCTGCCTTACTGTGAGCCACAAGTCTGTCAACATCCAGGAAATGGAGACAGTGGAGAAGCAGCTCTCTCAGATGGTGTCCCAGGGCATAGCATCTCTATGTCAACTACCTAACAAGCTAAAGCCAAGAGATGAACCAAAAACCCTCACCTCTACTACTCAGACCAGAAGGGCTAAGGAACTAGCAGACTCTGGCAACACAAAAGCTGTGTCACAAAAAGAAGGGAACTTTGGGGCAAACAAAGCTGCTAGGGGAACCAGTTATAGTTATTCTTATCCCCATGGACCTAAGCAAGCCACTGGGCATGGAAGAGTGGCCAAGACTTTTCAGATGAAATCCAAGCCACCTTTTCCAGGCAGGGAATCAAAAAGGCATCAGAGGGTATTGGCAGCAAGGGTCAGAGACATTGCCAAAAAGTACTGTCATTTACCTCATGGCCATCCTTTGAAGAGACATCACAATGTAGGTGATCCAGATGCCACAGCTTCACATACAGATTCTAGCCTAGTGATGGACTGTGCAAGAGGAGAAGATGATTTATCTGATACAGATAGCAACTACTCGGTGGATTCTCTCTCTCCTGTCTGTGCCAAAGCCTTGCTGACTGAGATGCTGATGCCAGAGGACCCTCCAGGAAAGTGGTGTCTCCCGGAGTCGGAGAACTCTGAAAGTCACAACAGCCAAATATCTCAGGACTTGCTGGTTGATAGGGGAGACCAGAGCTTGAAGGGAGGCAGTCATCCTATCAACAAATATAGCCACCCAAGGTCCAGAACTAAAGCTTCTGCGAGGATCTTTCCCACACCCTTAGACAGTGGCCTGCTTGCCCGGGCTCATAGGAGCTTTTCGTTAGACAGCCTGGTTGATGCTGAAGAAGAATTGGAGGAAGATCTGCAAGAGGAGCCTTTCCTTAATTCAGCTAATGAGATGCCCACAGAGACATTTTGGGGCCTGCAGAACTCCATTCTGCCTGTAGTGGACCAAGAGGCAATGTGCAGACCTGGGCCCACCAGCCACAGAACAGGAGTGGGGCTGAATACCATCCTGCCGATGAGCAGCTCATTTTACCTTAATCCTCAGTTCCAGGCTAATAAGGAATGGTCTGAGTCAGAGGTGGAGGCACGCTACCCAGAACAAGCCAGCTCTCTCCAAGGCACACAGCTTTCGAGAGAGAGCTCTCTGGTGTCCATGAATTCTTGGTTTTCCTGTAACTCTAAGATCAATCCCAGCAGCCCCCCAAGAAGAGAGGGCTCTTTATGTTTAAGTCCTGTTGTCCAGGAAGTCCAGCCCTTTGATGAAGAGAGGCTTGCATACATGCAAAATAGTAAAGAACTAAAGCCACTGGGTACAGAAGCAGTTCCGCCAGATAGCTCGAAATGGCCCCGAGGTAGCACTGAACTACCCTGCAGCACAGGAGATGTGCTTACAACCTCTGCTTCCAGTATTTCTAAGTTGTCATTTTGGGGAACTCAAAGGCTTCTTCATCCAGGAGCTGATGACTTCTTTCAGGGGAGCAGTAGCCCTGACACAACCCAACCAGGAAACTCAGAAGTTTCTAATTCTAGTGTGTTGAGTGAGCCTACTACCTCTGCCACATCATTCACTCGTGTAGGCAGCACCCATGAAGGGGACTGGGCTGCCCTTCAGCAAAAGTACCTCCTTGAAGTCTCTCATCCTGTCCTGGAGGCTGTGAGACAGCCCAGGCCATCCTTCCCCTATCTTGAGGAAGATTCTAGTTCCCTTGTTGAAAATTCTGGCAAAGGAAGAGATAGTCAACTACCAGTTAGTCCTGGGACGTCTAGCAGTCTGAATTTTAACAACTTGCCAATCCTTCTCTCCAAAACCAGGTGTTTGAGAGCAGAAAAAGAACAGGACAGTTTGGGTGCCAAATTGGAAAGTGCTTCAGATTTCTTTTGTACTAGTGAGAAAGAGGTTAGTTGTAATGGAGCTTATTCGGCTGACTTGGAATCACTGGCCTCTGGATCTACAAATGCACAGGTTTGTGCCACAGAGAACAAGATAACATATTCCTTAAAAGAATCCCGGGAAGTCAGACAGAAGAGCTTGGAGGAGTGCTGTCAGGATAGCAGGAAACCTGGAGTGATGGCTTCCTCTGATAAGTATGTATTCCAGAAGAATGCTTATTGCAGGAATGTTACCCAGGCCACCAGAGCAGACCATCGGCTTCAAGGCTGGTCTCCTCTTAGGAAAAATAGTGCAGTTCACCAAGGACAAATAAGCCACAACAACTGCTATCCCCAACAGGAAGAGAAGGCGTGTTGCCGGGAGAGCTCTGAGGAAGTAGTTGGAAGGTGCACAGACATTTCTTTTGCCCTTCCATCAGGTCCAGAGCCATACTTCCATTCTGCTCCCTGGAATCCTCTTTCATCTTCCCTGCAGCCACCTGTCTTGGAAACATACTATGTGACCAAAAGCAGAGATGCCCTGACAGAAACTGCCTTAGAGATTCCAGCTTGCAGAGAAGTACAAGTGCCATCCCCACCTCCCCGGGAAGCCTGGGGCTTTAGTCATGACCACCAAATCCTAAAGAAAACTTACTTGAAGAATAATTTGTCAGTGCTGTTACAAAGCCAGAATTCCAACATTGCCTTTTCTCAACAGGCCACCGCAGAGAGGCCAGTTGATCTGAAAACCAGGGAAGTTAGTGATGAGTTAGGGGAATACACTGAAAATTTTAAAGAAGAAAGGCATAATTCAGTTCATTTTCTTGTTGCTCAAAACAGACATTTTCTTCCTTTTACTGGCACAGAAGTATGTGAGCTTGAAAAAGAAGTTCAAATTTTAAATAAAAAGCACAGCCTTCCAGCACTTACTGAAAGAGATGAGGGTCCTGCCCTCTCCTGTTGGAGTGTTTCCTTGGACAACTCTGAACCTGAGAAGCCTTTCCTTTTCATCTGTGATTCTGAGGCAGGTAGGAAAGAAGAACAGGTTCAAATTCAGGATCATGATGTGAGCAGACAGTTTCTTTCTGCACCCATGTCTGATTTTATCTGTAAAACCACTGATTCAGGCCTTAAGGACATGCCAGGGGAAACTGCTATTTTTTTGAAGTCTAGATCAGAATGTCATAGAGTAAGCAGCCCCATGATCATAGCCCAGGATGAGAGTTCAACCCACAAGTGGGAAGGGAGTAGTGAAACTGGGCTGCTTGGAGAAACTGTCCATCCCAAAGACACCCCCACAGAGTTAAAGCTTTCAGAGATGAGATGTACCTGTGAAAGAGTCAAATCTATTACATGCTATCAGGAAAGAAGCCCCAGTGAATGCCAGGGCCCTGAAGGATCACAAGAAATGTTAAACTCCAAAGAAGAACTTTTGGGAAAGAAACATTATAAAGGAGTTAATAATAATAATGCTGATGAAATGGCTAAGCTAATTAGGAACGTCATGCAATTGGAAAATGCTATTTTAGAAATTGAATCCAAGCAAAATGAGCTTCATGCTTCCCACAAAGCAAGAGTTAGTGAGGACATAATGTCCCAAGACCAGAAGGATCCAGAGAGATCTGACTGTGTCCTGAGCCCAAGAAGCTCTGGAAAGCATTTGTCCTGCAAGGATCAACCATCTTCTCCAAGACAGGCAGATGGTATTGACTTTAGGGACAGTGAAGCTGGAGGAACAAAGGATAACAGAACTACTGGTAACAAAAACCAGGTCCTGAATGTCTCTCCAAGCCCCTTCACATCAGGCGAATGTGTACAGCACAGTCAGTCTGTGGTTGAGCATGCCCTCCCAGATGGATTAGACAGATTCCCCAGGGACACATGTGATTCTTTAGGGAAAGGCCTACCGTGCAGAGAGTCCACCAACACTGCTTTTCACCAAAAGAGAATGGAAGCATTGTCTAGAGCTCCATCCTTACATACCCAGCTGGAGAGTTCTGGGATGGGTGACAGGCTGGTATCAGCATTAGCAAGCTTCAAAGAGCAGCCTTGGGGCTTGGGAAGTCTTGAAGCACTGGAGGCTATAAAAGGTCTTCAGGAAGGCCAAGCTGTCAAATACATAAGTAGTTCCAAGCCAGAGTGGCCAAGAGCTCAAGGTGGACTTGAAGAAATGACCTTGGAAATGGGAGGAAGCCCACAGGACAAAAGTAATATGGTTTCATTGACCCAGAAACATCGTAGTCCAAGCCAGCATTGTATATGCACGTATTGCAGCCAGGAGACTTCCTTCCCATTACTGAGCAAGACAGACTTCTCCACAGCCCCTTCTAATAGAGACCTGAGTGCTACCTGGTCCGTGCCTTCACCAACGCTACCAGAAAGCTGTCTTCATACCCCTGATATGATAGGCATTTCTTCAGTTGATCATGTGCTGGATCCTACAATATTGAAAATTTCTGACAATCCTTCAGAACATGAGGTAGAGTATGACAGCAAGAGGAGAGAGGACAGAAGTATGCAGGGAGACACTAGAGGGGGCTCTTCCATGGCATACACGGCCTGGTATGGGGATGTGAGGCCCATGGTCTTGGGATTGTATGGTCAGTCTGATGCAGCAAAGAGTATTTCCCTGGGGACAGAAGAGAGGATAACAGCAAACATCCCCCTAGACCGAGGAGGGTACCTCAGAATCACTTCCATGGGTTTGCATGCTCAGGAAAGTTTTGGCAATGAAACTGAAGCAGCTGTACAAAAGGAAATACGAGGTACGTTCTTGAATACAGCTTCTAGGCTTGAAAAAAGGGTCAACTTCTCTTTAGAAGAGGATGATGATCAAGGCAGAGGGGCAAAACAGAAGACACAGGAGGAGGCCAAGGACCAAAGCCCTACCAGCAGCACTTGCTCGGTACCTGTTTCCCTGCCAAGGGCGCCTAGTCAAGAGCCCCTGCTGTTGGAGACATCTGTCCATGCATCCATTTGCCTGGCTATCTTGGAGGAGATCAGACAGGCAAAGGTCTGGAGAAAACAGCCTAATGACTTTGGGGCTGGGGCTACAGTCCTTCCTTACTATGAAACTTCAGTGGAACCTGAATGTTCTTCAGGGACTGCTGGCAGGACTCATTGTGAACAGACAGACCAGTTGATGCCAGGCAGTACCAGGAATGAGGATGAAGCTCCCGAATGTGATGGGGCATCTCTCTCTGCTGCAGCAGGACATCTGTTGGCTGTCGAGAAGAAAGGCCAAATCACACCTCTCTATACAGATGGCTCTGGACCTCTGCCCAGCCCTGAAATGGACAGAGCGCCCCAGCCTCTTCCACAGTCTTCCTCTCTTGCTGCACCTACTCCAGGCACAAAATCCTGCACTGGAGACCTGAGAGATTTCCAGGGAGCAAGAAAAGAGTTTACAGATCACTCTATTTCTTCTGAAATCACAGAAAAGAAAAAATCATGCAGAATACTTTCCTCTGGTAGTCCTTTGGTCTTAGATAGGCTTCTTCCTTCAAGAGCTGTGGAGGTAGACAGGGTGGTGAGATCAGAGAAAGCAGTGTATGCAGAGTCTTCTCAGGCCCCTCAAGATCCGGGGCTGATTCTGCATGGGCAGAGCCAGTTAGCTACATGGCACACTGCAGAGGGCAAGCCCCCTGGCAGTTGCACCAGCAGCCCAGAGCACCAGGAGCCTGAGACTTTAGATACCACATACGGAGGAGGCTTATGTAATTTGTTAGTGACTGCCTGGGGAGGAAAAACTGCCCACTTTGAAAGTCAGTCTGTGATCTGTGGAGTTGAGAATTCTTTAAGCTTTTCAGGGACTAAGCAAGATCATGTCCAGTGCTTTGAGACTTCTACTGGCTTAGAAAAAGTGAGGGCAAGTCCAAAACAGGCTGTTTTGCCTGGAGCTCCGAGAAATGCTGGACTAGAAGCCCCCTTGCAACAGTGTGTGAACTGGGAGGAGAATGCTTGGGTCAGGACGGGCAGCAAAAATCTCAGGCCAACTCCATTGCTAGATCAGAGACCTAACCCAGACCCTAGGGAAGATGAGGCCCCATGCAGAGGTCCAGAGAAAACCAGAGATTGCCTTGTCTTATCTGGGAACACACAAGGCACCAGGGCTGTCAGCACAGCAAGGGAGACAGAAGAGAGCAGAACTTGCCAACTGTTATGCTATCCTCAGACCACTGCAGCTGATGCCTGTTCCTCCCATTCTTCCACTCTGCTTTGTCACAGTGATGGTGACCTGTGGACGAATTCCAAGGCCACCCCATATCCTGTCTACCCACCTTTCATTGTACATTCCAGAGCTTGTGAAATGGGTGAGATAGGAGAGACCTTTTCAAAGGAAGCTGATGTGCTCTTGGCACATAGCCGTGAGCCAAAAGGCATAGACCTTGGGCCAATAGATGGCAGCATGCTTGAACCCTCCACTGCAGCTGCTGTCAGACTGCCCGCTCAAGGCCACAGCTCCCTCTGCACCTCCTGTGTGAGGACACAGTCCCTCACCCAGTCAGCTGCTGATGGAAGCTCAAAGAAAGTAGCGGGTACTGAGGAGGTTGCTGAGAGAAAAGCCAGCCGAGAACTTGAGGCTGCCCCTTGCCTTGCAGACCCTTACTCTGAGGCACTGAAGAACCTCAGGCATCACTCTGTAGGTGGCCACAGTGCACACGTGTCTCAGACCAAGCTAGAACCATCTGCAGAAACTCAGGGACCACACACCCTGAGGTTACGTGAAGGGTCTGTTGAGAATGAGTATGGGTGCTTACAAAATATCAGATGCCTTTCAGAAAAGCCACAACATTCCACCAAATCCAGGGATCCTCCAGTTAAGTTTGTAGCAAAACACATCTGTAGTACTCAGGGTGGTAGTCCTTGGGAAGAGGAAGAACAGCGGAGAGACTGGGCTTCAGGAGGTAATGAAGACCTTCCCTGGGACAGGAGTCCCCCACTCACTGAGCAAGTTGGCTTGAATGGCTGTCATATTAGAGATGCTGGAAGAGAGGAGGTGGTTGTGACCAAGTCGCTGGTGTCCCAGACTTTCTTACCAGGTTTTGAACACCCGGCTTCTGTGCCATTAGGGCACGGTGCAGTACCACATCCTGCTGACCAGAGGCCTGGACAGCTTTTCTCCAATGCAGAGCAGTTGACTCCCTACTCCAGGCGCTCACTTCCCATGATTACAGTCTTCTCTGGCCCCAAACACTCCAAGTCCAGCCCCAGACCTCAGTTTTCTGTGGTGAGCTCTCGATCTCTTCAGGAGCTAAACAGAGTGGAGTCGTCTTCCCCTCCAGATGAAGATGCCCAGGGCCTTCATAGACTGTGGAACTCACACCTCCCGGGCTATTCCGCAGGAAAGATGGTGACAGGAACACCTCTGAAGACTGAGGATTGTAACTCAACAGCTTCATCTAACCAGAACAGTGGCCCTACTGATCACATGCCACTGAAATGTGCCACCCCTCCTTACCCATTGTCTTCCACAGTGTCTTGCATGGTGACCCCCAATTTAATGAACAGCTGGGTGTCTGGTGCTTTGCCTCCACAGGGAAACCCAGAGAAACTGGGTGTCCAGGTCAGCCCAAAGAATGGTCAGGAGGACAAAGGAATGTACTTGGGCTCCAGTGATACTAACCCCTGCATCGTGCCATGGTGTCCAGAGGGACCTGTGCACATTGGCTGGAAGCATCACATGTTTGGCGGGGCAGTTGATGTCTCCTGTAGCCGGAAAGCCCCTGGTCCCATACCATCAAATGCAGCTTGGTGCTGCAGCACAGACAACAGCCTGCGAGACCAGAACCCCCCAGTTTGCTCCTGCCTCCACACTTATGCCCAAACCCATTACCTGTCAAGTACACACAGCAGCACTGAGAATTTACAGGGTTCAAATGAGGCCTGGAACATAGGGGGTGTCTCCTGTGCTTTGGGACACCCCCACATCCTGAGTGGTCCTCACAAGGTACCCCAGTTTAAGGGCCCCACTGATGAAGCAGGCTGTCTAAAGAGTGGGCTGCCTTTGGCTGAAGGAATTTCTGTAGGTGCAGTGGATGAGATTGTGCTGCTGTGTCCATCTGAGTCTGGCTGCCCTCTGGCACAGGGCAAAACGGACACCTATGAGCAGGGCACACAGACTCCGGGCTGCGAGCTCCACCAGAGCGGAGCTGATGTCTTCTCTCCTCAGCCTGACACCAGTGTGGCATCACCCTGTGGCCTGGCCTCCTGGGCCAGCATGCACAGCCTGTCTCTTCACCTCTCACAGCTTCTGCACAGCACCTCAGAGCTGCTTGGAAGTCTCTCCCAGCCAGGCGTGGCCAAGGAGCAGAACACCAAGATGAACCCCACTGCTGGAGCCCTACAGGCCCTCAGGATGAACAGTGCAACTCAGACCAGTGTGGAAAAGGGCAGCCAGACTGATGGGGCCTCACCCCCTCTACACTTCCAGGGCCCAGAGGCCAAACCTCAGGAAGTCAGTGTGATCCTTGAAGTGCTGAGCTCAGATATCACACCTGTGTCTCAAGAAAAGGGGGATGTCACAGGACCCCTTGGGAGAGTGGCACAGGAGATGGCGTGGAAAGCTGCCATGCCTTCAGATCTTCATGAAGAAAGTGCTCATTGTACGCTGAGAAGCTCTTCAGTGTCTTCATCCTACTTGAGGTTTCAGAAAGCTCCTCTAGAGCAGAACCTCCCTTCTGGGAGCCACCCAGCTTCTCTTGATGCCTCCTCATCTCCCAGCTCCCATCCAGAGGACTCCTCTTGTGTGGTTGTCAACAGTCCCAGCCTCAGCATGTCTCATACCCCAGGGTCCTTCCCTAGAGCCTCAGAACCCACCCTGGAACCTCAGGTCCAGAAAAAGCCGTGCCCCACGAGCACCTTGTTGGTGGACAGGGCCTCCTCCCCGATACTCACACTTAGTGCCAACACCCAAGAGCTGGGTCTTCCCTCAGGGTTTTTCCCCCAGGCTCCCTCAGCCCACCCTTCTGAAGGTCACCCAAAGCTTGACTTCACCCCGAGGCCTCCAGCAGGCAATTGTTCTCAAACCACTCATGACTTGACAATCGAGGCTGTGGATCAGGGAGGCAGTAGGAAGTCATTCTTGGAGTTAAGCCCCCGTTGCAGTCCAACACAGAGCTCCAGCATCCAAGTTAGCTTCTTGGGCCAGCCTCTTAAGCAGCGTTGGCCCAGGACCACCACTGGGGGCCAGAATACTCCATCACTTCCACCCCAAAGTCACCTGAGCCAGAGGCTGGCTGACAGCTGTGTGTCTGAGGGGATGACTTCTCCAGAGCATGGCCCACTGAGCAGTCGGCCAGGTCAGTGGCAGGGCACACCTGAACATGAAGGTAAGAGTTCAATACCTCCAGTGGAGCCACAACTCACTGTGGACCTCTCGTCATGGAAAGGCCCTCAACACAGTTCCTGCCCTGGTGCTGAGCCAACTGACCCCACAGGTTCCCGCGGTTCCACTGCTGACTTGCCTCAGGGAGTTTATCCTAGTTCCCAGATGTGCATGGGCCCTGAATCCCAGCCTTGCAACCTAAGGGACCTCCCGGTGCATAACAAATTTAGTAACTGGCATGGGGTTCAGCATGACTCTTCTGAAGGGCTGGGTGTGAGTGAGGAAATAGAAGCCAGCTCTGATCTCAGCTCTGGAGAGCAGAGGCAGGGACCCCCGCAACCTGGTGACCAGAGCCTGGATCCTGAGTGGTCTCCAAGGAAGCGGATCTCCCTACAAGTTGGGGCCCGGAGTACCCCACTCAGTGTAGAACTCACAGAAGCGAAACTGCACCATGGCTTCGGGGAGGCAGATGCCCTGCTGCTGGTGCTGCAGCGTGGGACAGGTGTGGCACTTGTTCCAGATGAGGCTGTGATGTCCACCTGGGAGCAGCGCCATGCTCGGTAAGGGCTTCTGCTGGGGAACGGGCAGGGGCAGTGGGGAGAGGAGAACTTTGGGAAGCTGACAGCAGCTGTTCTGACCTTGTTCATCTCTGACGTCTTTCAGGAGTCGGAAGTAGAACTCAGGTGCAGTTCAGTGACTCAATCGTGTTTTGTCTCAGGCAAAGACAAGCCATTGAGATCCTCAAGAGAGAGCAGGCTGAGCAACTTCAGAACTTCCCTCGGACACGAAGCCTGAGCCCCCAGAAAAAAATGAGCCTCCTGTCTAACAGGGCTTTCCCCTCCTGGGACCAAGACTTTCCCAGCAGGCGCCGAGAATACCTGCAGCAACTGAGGAAGGATGTTGTGGAGATCACCAGGTCATGAGGGACCCGAACCTTCAGGAAGGGCTCTGTAGTTGGGAGGAGGCTGTGGGGGACTGGGCCTGGAGGTGGTGCTCCAGAGGCTCTTCTGTGCCTGTGGGCAGTGGAGGTGGGTGTGGCAGATTGGGGCCAAGGGAAAGAAGACAAGGCAGAGGCAGGAGTACTGGACTGGAGTGAGGAGTTCCAGGAAGGACAGGTTGAGGGGTGGCCTGTGGGGTAGATAGGGCTGACTCCTATCTACTATATTGGAATCTGTCTTTCCTTCCTGTGATTTCCGTAGGAGCCCACAGTCGGCACCGAGTTCTGCCCACCCACCCTCTGACATTGAGCGGATGCTGCGTGACTATCAGCAGGCCCGAGAGGAGGCCAAGGTGGAGATTGCCCGGGCACAGGAGAGGCTTAGAGAGCGTACTACACAGGAGAAGCTTCGGATCCGCCAACAGATCATCTCCCAGCTGCTGAGGATGAGGAGTGGGGTAAGCCTGGATAGATCTCAGGCTAAGGCAGCATCACTGTGGCCATGCTGCACCTGGGGTGTGCTCTGAGGAAGGCATGACAGCCCCAGGGCCAGCCTCGAGGCTGGGCCTACTGTCCCTGTACACCCTCATCAGACCAGCTCTGTCCCTAGGCCCAGGTCTGAGAACAAGAGGCTGTGTTGTGTAGTGTGGCATCAGGAGGTAGGAGGTGGGCTAGGGTCTCATAGATGTATTAGAAGCTGGTTTGTGATGACTTGTCCTTCCCAGGAAGAAGAAAAACTACATACCCTGGCCTGCTCCAGCTCCCCATGCACCATCTCCAACGGAAGCCTCTCCTCTGGTGTCACTTCTGGTTACAATAGCAGCCCAGCCTTGTCAGGCCAGCTCCAGCCTCCAGAGAGTGTGGTGAGCAGGCAGATGTGTGAACAAGCCCAGGGCCAGTACTACTGAGACAGGAGCCTGGGCAGGACCTGTGCCTCCTGGGGCCACTGCTGGCAGGAGCCCTTGAGATTCACTTCTGTCTCCCTCTGCTTAGCTGGTTTGTTTTGTTTTGTTTTGTTTTGTTTTTGGGTATGGAGATCAAACTCAGAACCTTGTGCTTGCAAGGCAGGTGGTGGCACCACTGAGCTAAATCCCCGGCCCTGCTTAGTCATTCTTGCAAGTACTTATTTTGTAGGCACTGTTTTAGAATACAGACGTGACTGTTAGATAAACATCAGCGAGCTTATTTATGGTTAAGTTGCAATAAATTTGGAGAAGGGACAGTAAGCCCTCATAAACTGAGGCTGCTGTCAGTAGTCTCTGGAGAGAAAGTGCTTAGGCTGAGATTGGAAGGAGGAGAGGACAGATGTGGTCCCCTGAAGTAGGGGGCAGTGAAGAGCAAAAGGAAACCAGTGTGGCAGGGGTGTGAGAGTGAGATGGGCGAGGGGCGAAAGGACTGGCTCTGATGTTGCTGAAAGTGATAGCTTCAGATAAGATAGAAATGGACTGCATGGCAGGAGAAGGAAGCAAGGGCAGCGTGGAGAGCCTGTTAGGCAGCAGGGGAGGGTGAGAGAGAGAAGGTGACTGCTTGCCTTAAGGGCACTGCCAGTGAGGTGAACAGATGTGGATGTACTGGAGAGAGAACAGGTGCAGGACTTGGTGACTGTTGGATGTTAGAAGAAGGGGAGAGGAGAGGTGAGAGCAGACACTTCAGACTTGTGCAGCTGAAGGGGTGGTAGTCAGTGATGACAGACCTGGGAAGAGAGCCAGGCTTTGTGGGAGAGATCATGATTTCTACTTTACTACGTTGTAGGTGTAGCAGGTAGAATTGAGTAGGCATTTGGGAAGACAGAGCTCCAGAGTAAGATGTGACTGGGAGCCAGATGTGGTAGCATATTCCTATAAATCAACACTCTAGGAGGCTGAGGCAGGAGGATCACACCCTGGACAGTTTAGTATCTAGTTGCACTGTTGTGGATGCCTTGATATCCTGAATCGATTTTTTTTTTCTTTGTTCTTTGTCTCTCTGAGACAGGGTCTTGCTATGTAGTTCAGGCTGGCCTCAAACTCACTATGTAGCCCAGGCTGAATTTGAACTCATGGCAATCCTCCTGCCTTAGCCGTTCCAGTGCTGGGATTACAGGCGTGTACCACCACGCCTGGCTCTGTTATACATTTCAGTTTTCATTTATACATTCAGGTTCTCATACCAGAGAAACAATGTGGTATTTTTACATATGTCTGATTTATTTCACTTATGAGTGTGGTCTCAAGGTGAACACATTTAGCTATAAATGTCTCTAGTTTATCATTCTTTGTGGCTGAGTGGTACTCCATTGTATTAAAGAAAACCACATCTTTATCCACTTGCCAGCTGATGGGCATTTGGGCTGTTTCCAAAGTTTAGCTGCTACACACTGTGCCACTGTAAATATGGGTGCACACATTCCCCAGAAGGGGAGTAGGTGGGTTGAATGGAACCTCTGGTTCTAGTTTTTTTAGAAATCTCTACACAGATTTCCACAGTGGTTGCACCAGTCTACGCTCACAGCAGCAGTGGAGAAGGGTTCCTTTCTCCCCACATCCCCTCCAGCACGTTATTGGTTGATTTCTTGGTAGCAGCCATTCTTTGTGGAATGAGATGGAATCTCAGCATTGTTTTATTTTGGATCTCTCGAATGACCAGTGATGTTGAATGTTTTTTTTTTTTTTTTAATATATTTATTTGCTGTTTCTACTTCATTTGAGAAGAGTGTATTCATTTAGATGCCCACTTTTGGATTGGGTCTTTAAATTTGAGGGTCTGGTTTTATATTCCTGATTTTAGTCCTTTGAGGAACAGCTGGCAAAAATTTTTTCCCACATTGTCGGTTGTCTCTTCACTCTGTTGGCTGTTTTTCTTCTTGTGCACTGGCTTTTTAGTAAGATAAGATCTAGTTGTTGATTGATTGTGATAATTCTTGTGCGGTCAGGGTTTATTCATAAAATTGTTTTTGCCCATGCCAATTCTTAAAGATTTCTGCCTAATCTTCTCCAGTAGATTTAATGTTTGTTTTAATATTTAGATCTTTGATATATTTTAATTTTAGGTTAGTTCATGGTAAAAGATACAGGTCTAGTTTTCACCTTTGGCAAGTGGAAAGCCAGTTTTTCCAACACCATTTATTAAAGAGGCTATCTTTCTTCCAGTGGAGGTGTTTGGCTCCTTTGTCAAAGATAAGGTGGCTGAGTGTGTTTGGAGTTGTTTCTGCATCCTCTAATCTGTTCCACTGATGTTAGGATCTGTTTGTTTTTGTTTTTTCTTTGTTGTGCACATGTGTGTGTGTGTGTGTGTGTTTGCCAGTACCATGCTGTTTTTAATTTAAAGTCAGGGATTGTGATGCCCCCTGCCTTGTCTTTGTTGCCTAGAGTTGCTTTTGCTATTTTAGATCTCTTCTGGCTCCAAATGAATATTAGGATCATTTTTTTCTAATTCTGTCTGATATACTGTTGGACTTTTGATTGGGATTGCATTAAGTCTGTGTAGCAGTTTTGGAAGTATGGCCATTTTCATTATATTGGTTCTTCCTATCCAAGAACGAGGGATATCTTTCCATTTTTCTGATATCTTCTTTGATCTCCCTTTTCAGAGTACTATAATTTTCAATGTAGAGATCTTTTACTTCCTTGGTTAGATTGATTTCTAGGTATTTAATTTTTTTGGATGCTACTGTGAAAGGTGTCGTTTCCCTAATTTTTCTCTCAGTGAATTTGTTATTAGTAGTCAGGAAGGCTATAGATTTTTGAGTGCTGACTTTGTATCCAGCTACTCTACTGAATTTGGTTATTAAGTCTAGAAGTCTTTTGTTGGAGCTTTTAGGGTCTTCTATGTAGAGTATGTGTCATCCGCAAATAGTGATAATTTAACTTCTTCCTTTCCTATCCTTATTCCTTTTATTTCTTTCTCTTGTCTAATTGCTGTGGCTAATGTTTCCAGAACTATATTGAACAAAGAGTGGTGACAGTGGACATCTTGTCTGGTTCCTGATTTTAGAGTGTAGGCTTTCAGTTTTTGTCCATTTCCTGTGAAGTTGGCTGTTGGTTTATCACAGATGGCTTTTATCAGGTTGAGGTAAAGACCATCTTTTCTGATTTTTCTGTAGTTTTATTGTGATTGAGTGTTGGACCTTGTCAGATGCTTTTATTGCATCTACTGAGATGATCATATGGTTTTGTCCTTGACTGTGTTAGTATAGCATATTACATATATTGATTTGCATATGTTGAACCATCCCTGCATCCCTGGGATAAACCCTACTTGGTCGTGGTGTTCAACCTTCTTGATGATTTATTTGCTACATTATGTTTGCCAGTATCTTATGGAAGGTTTTTTTTTTTTTTTTTAATACCAGGGATTGAACTCAGGTCCCTATGCTTGCAAGGCAGGCTGTGGAACCACTGAGCTAAATCCCCAGCCCTGGAAGATTTTTGCACGTATGTTTATTAGGGAGATCAGCCTGTTGTTTTCTTTTTTAGTTGGGTCCTTCTCTGGTTTTGGAATCAAAGTAGTGCTTACTTCCAGAAATGAATTTGGGAATATTTCTTCCCCTTCAATTTCATTGAAGAGCTTGAGAAGTAGCAGCATTAGGTTTTCTCTAAATTTCTTGTATAATTCAGCAGTGAATCCATCAGAGCTTTAGGTTTTTAATTACATGTTCAATTTCATTGGATGATACTGATTTATTTAGAATATCTAGAATATTTAGAAGAATATCTAGAATATTTAGAATATCTCCTGGGTTCACCTTGGATAATTTGTACATATCTAGGAATCTGTCCATTTCTTCTATTTTTTCCATCTTATTAGAATACAGGTTTTTGAAGTAAGTTTGATGATCTGGATTTCTGCAGGATGTATTGTGATTTCATCCCTTTCATTCCTAATTGCATGGATTTGAATATTTTCTCTTTTCTTTTTTTATAAGATTAGCTAAATGTTTGTCACTTTTATTTAATCTTTCAAAGAAACATCTCTTTGGATTCTTTGCGTCATTTTCTTAGTTTCCTATGCATTAATTTCTGTTCTGATCTTCTTAATTTCCTCCTTTGTATGAGCTTTGGACTTGGCTTGGTTTTCTTTTTCTAGAAGCTTGAAGTTCACCATTAGGTTATTTGAGCTCACTCTGTTTTCCTGATAATGAGTATTTACCACTATAAATTGCGACTGCTTTCATTGTGTCCCATAAATTCTGATATGTTGTATTGTTGGCATTATCATTTAATTGTAGAAACTGCCTAATTTCTCCTGTGATTATTCAGGAGAGTATTATTTAATTTCCATGTGTTTATGAAGTTGTTGTGGTTTGTTTTGCCATGGATTTCCAGTTTCACTGCACTATGGTTTGATAATATGGATGGGATAATTTCAGTTCCTTTGCATTTACTTAGGCATGTTCTATGAGCTAGTATGTGGTCTGTTTTGGAGAATGTCCATGTGCAGCTGAAAAGAATGTGTATTCTGATGCTGTGGGGTAGAACACTGTGTAGACACTATCTACTAAGTCCATCTGTTCAAAAGTTTGGTTTGGGGCTGGGGATTTAGCTCAGTGGTTCTGCTGCCTGCCTTGGTTCATTTCTGATATTTCATTATTGATTTTTTTTGTCTAGTTGATCTATTTGTCACAGGGGTACTGAGGTCCCCCATTACAATTGTCTTAGTGCTTATTTGATTTTTCATGTCCATTAATATTTGTTTTCTATTATTAATATTGGGTGCATTGCTATTTTGTGCATATATGTGTGTGATTGTCTTGTCTTCCTCTTGGATTGTTCCCTTTACAAGGATGTACTAACCTTTGTTTCTCTTCATCAGTCTTGGCTTGAAATCCACTTTGTAAATAGAATAGCTACCCCTGTTTTTTTTTCCAGGTTCCTGGCACATTAAG